ACAATGAATGGGAAACATTGGAACACCCAATATGGCAGCTCTCGCCTTCTAAATAAAAGAGCCAATCGCCAATGGACCCTTTTCACATTTCCAAGGTTCTCAGAATCAGAAGTCATTGTAGGGTAAACTTATATATTGGTGAATGAAAACTATTATAAAAAGAATTGTATTATAAAAAAAAAAACAATCTCTAGAACTGCTCTGAGAGTCACTTCATTTGTATTTTACAGTTTCTTTTGAGAAAAACTATGGTCATATCATATACAAAAAGAAACCTAAAGGCTTCACAGCAACCCGTCAAAATAAAAGTTTGGTTTAACTTTAAAGGGGTTATATGATGTTGCTAAAAAGAACATTATTTTGTGTATTTGGTGTAATGAAATGTGTTTATGCGGTTTAAGGTTCAAAAAACACATTATTTCCCACATACCGTACATTATTGTTTCTCCTCTATGCCCCGCCTTTCTGAAACGCGTCGATTTTTACAAAGCTCATCGGTCTGAAAAGCGAGGTGTGCTCTGATTGGCCAGCTATCCAGTGCGTTGTGATTGGCCGAACATCGCAAGCACTCGTCGGAAATGTAACGCCCCTTATTTGTGTATTTGGTGTAACAGAATATGTTGACATGCTTTAATGTTCAAAAAAAACACATTATTTTTCAAATATTGCACATTATTGTAGATCCTCTATGCCCCGCCTCTCTCAAACACTTCGTTTTCTACAAAGTCCCTCCTTCCGACAAGCGCAGTCTGCTCTTATTGGCCAACTGACCCAGTGCATTGTGATTGGCCGAACACTGCAAGCACTCGTCGGAAATGTAACGCCCCTTACCATAATCGCAAACTTCATCTTTCAAAATAAATGTAAAGACAGAACCCGAAAGGGGAACAGAGTCTCGTGACAGACACAGTGATGAAGCTGGTATGTGTTTGCAGTACATAAGCCACGGTTAAGACAGCTGACTCCACTGTGATGTGACCCTGTCTCTCTCTCACACACACACACACACACACAC